CTTTTATAACCCCCCAGAGGAAGAAATCTAAAGGTATTAAGTCGGGACTACAAGGAGGCCATGCATTCACACTGCCTCTGCCAATCCACTTATTTGCAAACATCTCATCAAGATAGTTCCTAACAACTCTGTGATAATGAGGTGATGCCCCGTCCTATTGAAACCACAGCTCTTGTCGGAGGTTGAGAGAAACATTTTCTAATAACCCCGAAAAATCATTTTCCAAAAATTGTCGATACCTGTGTCCTGTTAAGTTGCCTTCGAAGAACTATGGGCCAATTACGTAATCTGCAATAATACCAGCCCACACATTTATGGAATAAACATTTTGAAAATGAGCTGTTCTGATCCAGTGTGGGTTATTTTGGGAGTAATAGTGACAGTTGTGAGGATTAACAACCCCGTTAATGCCAAATCTTGCTTCATCGCTGAACAAAACTTTAAATAAAAAATTGTTGTCCAACTCGAGTTGATGTTGCATAAAATTGCAAAATTGTATTCTTCTGAGAAAGTCTTCTTCTTTTAGATCTTGTACTAATGTCACATGGTAAGGGTGAAACTTATTCCCTCCTAAAATTTTAAAACGAAAGATTGACATATTGCTACCTGTCGTGCTATTATAAATCTTTGGCTCATAAGCTACGGCCAATTCCGTCTTAACATTTTTTCTAAATATCTCAAGATTTGGTCGGATGGATGTCGCCTATCGGGATATCTTCTTTCGTAGACATTTGCTGCTGCAACGGCAATTTTTCCGCATTCTCCAAAAATCAAGATCATATCAAACTTTTCATCGTTCGTGTATTTAACCCTCATCTTATCGCAAAGTCTAAAAACTTACCTGAGCTCAAAATTAACAAACAGAATTATTGCAAAAGTCAAAATTAACTACTAGGTAACTATGGTTGTACATTTTAGAAAAATAAAACAAAGTGAGTTACATATGAGATCTGTATTTTGTGTTGCATTGAAATTTGGTCAGGGTTCCGTTACTATAATACCCACCCTGTATATTAAAAAAACCGTTGATTAAATGTGTGAAGGTACCCTTCATCTTCTACAGATCTGTAATCACAAAAACTCCATCATTTCATAGGAAAACACTTCATTATCTCACATACTATCACACTGATTAAAATATAATGACTCAAACAGTAATTATTATTCGTATTTGATCTTCATTAATTAAATACACATATATCTTGTTAATAGCAGATCGTGTTCCCAATTCAGATCTCTGAACTCTCCTTCCAGCGAATTTTCGTACTTCCTGTTTAACCTATACCACTGACTAAAATTGTTCTAGGGTTATTTAGACAGAACTTCCCTCCACATTGACGTACAGTCCCACAACACGAGCTTCTTGTGAAATTTTATTTATCTTATGATAACCTGCAGAAGTTAAAAAAATGTCGACGAGGATGGCATTCAAACCCACTCAGCCACGATGTACTTGTTCCATCAATAAGCCAAATCAGTTACGTGCAAACACGTGGTAAATTTTCCACAAAGATTTTTATTAAGTAATTGTGGTAAAACATCAGCGGATTCATGAACTACAAGTACAGGAAATTTTATGCACTGGCTTTTTCCTATGGGTTAGAGCATAATCTTTTACTAGGATGAAGTAAGTGTCTTCCAATGCAAGTGGACAAAGTGGACATTATATGATTGTGAGAGTCGACAGTTTAGGTATACAAAACGCTTCCAAGACCAGCCTACGCCACGAGCGTTGTGTATCTGCTCCAAGTCCGACAAAAAGGATTAAGGGACATTACAACTTGGAAGCGCTAATGCAGATATGACAAATCTGGTAATTAGGTGTATTTATCATAGTTTTTGCGGTCACGTCATTGCTTTGTAGACGACATGAATGATGTAATTTTAATCATTCTAATTAAATGCATTCATGCTAATATCTTGCCAATATTAAAAACATGATACTCACTTTGTACGATAACTCGTATCATAGAAAGTATGAACAGAATATGCATATTTTATTATAACAATTTTATAATACATACTTACAAAAATGTGATTTCTATTCAGAAAAAAAAATAGTGTCAAGACCAAATATGAATTATGAAGCCATGAAATTATACAAAAATAAACAGAAAAACAAATCCATAAATTAAATACATGCTAGCGAGATAAACTAAAACGGGAAAAGTTCATAAAATGAAAGTAGTTGTTTTGATAAACAAATAAGCTCATACTGAGCCAGACGAGTTGGATATTTAGGGGATTTATCAGATAATAACATTGGGGAAGATACAGAAACTTTACTGTAATAAGTCCAGGATTAGTAGTCGTATAAATTTATTAGAAAGAAAGAAAGAAAGAAAGAAAGAAAGAATAGACAAAAAGAAAGTAATTACAAAAAGATTTAGCTCCGTTAGTATTGGGAGGAGTACTCTATCGGCACTTATAACACTGTCTGAACTTTATTTATAGACGATATACAATCTGCAATCATAAGGAGTTCGAACTACGCAGAATGCTTTTAGGAAAAACTGTCACCAAAAAAAGATGATGTCGTTCGTGTCAGTAAACAAATTCGTACATATATTTACCAACCCTAAGAGAGACGGATACAAAAGAAAATTTAAGCCATTGAGTAAAATATTTGGAACGGAAAAAATGGATATTTATAGACAGAATGTTAAACTTGCGAATGTATGAATTCTGAAGTGTCTCCTAGCAGTTAAGTCAAGAGGCGTATAGATCCAAATCCGCAATCTTATGAACTTATGAACAAATCCACTGATAATCGAAAATCAGAACGTTATTAAAAAAAGATGCATCATTGCAGCATGAGTCGAAAAAACTGATATTCTCTAATTTCACGGAAATGGGCTCCCATAAAGCTCCAGCCTCTTCCACTCGTTTCATATTCTGTTTCCGATTGAAAGGCTCATCATTGTTTTAAACTTTTCAAACACTGGGATCGATGCGGATTGAATAATTTTGATGAACAAATCCGGATCTTTTGCTTGTTATTTACGAGGTAGCAATTTAAAATATTCATTAGCCGGCTTTCAGCACGTTTACGTACTATTTTACGATGTTACAAGAGACTGTGCCTACAAGCTCACACCTTCCGTCCTTTGTGTGGTGTGAATACGTTAATTAGTCACACACACATACACACGTTTACATTATACTTCACACAGTAAGGTTTGTTTAGCAAACATATTTTATCTTTGATCTATTGTGATGTGACATCCAACATCTTAATATGATTTAGTTGAGCGCCACCGTACAATAATAAAGCACGGCATTATATTCGCCACACAAGATTGATCGCCCCTTGATTCTATTAAAATTTTGAGTTTGAGCAAAATAACCAAAATGATTAAGGTGTGTGTCAACCGAACGACAAGTTAATCGATTTTCGAACAATTAAAAATCTTTTAATAACACCTGTCTAATTTCGTATAGCGCACCTTCCTTCCTCCTTCTGCGGGAAAAGGCCTGGAGCAAAGACTCCAAAATTAATATACATAATATTAACACACAAATTTGTATTATACCTTGTTAGATGGGTTGAAGTTGTTTATTAAAAGATATTTAAAAACGAAGCCCTAGTGAACAATTCTTTATTAGTCCACAATCTGCTCGCGAACCAATTTTCAATGTACAAAAACAACTTGTGAAGAAAAATATTATTATATCTAATAAACAGGTAGATCATGAAATGTACACAGAAATGTTTCTTGTGGAACACGTTCTTCACAACAGTTCACTTAATTTGTCAGTATTTAAAAGAACAATTCGCCAGTTAGCTTCTTTGTAATTTTTGTAATTATCACCTTCCCCTTAGTGGATTTTGACAGAATTACTCATTTGAAATTCTTCAAGATAGTCTTGTGTCCATTTAAATTCACGACTTCGATCACAAAAACTGATGAGGTTGGCTTCCATTCTAGACAACGTAATTAATCTTTGTTTACTGCATTTCCAAGATACGTCTCTACCAATTTTCACAACGTATCCAGTAAATACCTTTAAATCTTTAACCGCACTCCGACTGGCGTCTGTGTTTATGGCTACTTTACCACTGTTGTTATGGTAAAGTAGTCCACATCTTTGGTTCCTTCAGAGAACAATATACTCTTTTTAATGCTCTTGAATGCATCTGATGTGATTGGAGTTGAATGGCTGGCGCTAGATACAGGATTTCTTGTACTTACTTTCCCCTACATAAAATAGAATTCTCATAATATTACAAATCTTGATCTACATAGCCCTTTTACATGTCTTTAATCTTGAATAAAATACATGTAGATTTAACGTGGTACCGAAATTAGGAATTCTATGTTATTTTCGTAGTCCACCTATGCATACAAAGTTTCGTTTTTAGTTAACTTATAGCAATTCATGAAGGTATTTTAAGGAATCTGATCTTTTAGAAATACCCAAATTGACCAATTTCCAGTAAATTAATCTTCAGTTCAAAACCGTAAACGTAATTAATTTACTGCTGATCAATGTCGTCTTGGTTTTGTCTAAAATAGTTCGGTTATTTCGTTATAAAGTAAAGTGTAATTCTTCGTTTTTACTTGCCGAACGTAAGCTAAGGAAGTATTGTTATTAAGGTCCATCCAGCTAATGGCTACTTACGTTTCAGTCCCCCCTACATTACATAGCAACAATAAATTTTATTCATGCTGAATATAACACAAGTTTTTGCTAAGGTCAGTAATTATCATTAGTGCATATATAAACATGTTATTGATGTTTCGATGACTAACTTTAATAGTTTTTTTCCGGAAAAAACCTGTTTACTACCTCGGAAATCGTATAAACAAAAACATTATTGATGGTATATTAATACCTAAATCATTTGTCTTTACAAAACTCCGGTCTATATTTGGTAATGTTGGATATAGATCGAATTTATCTAACTTGGTGATGGATTTATATGTCTGGATAGTCTCTAATATCTGTGGATATATAAAGTAGTTGTAATTTGATTTCTGAAAATAGTGGTTTGCCACACGATTTTTAACCAAAAGGTCGAATCCGATTCAGGGCCAGCTGGTGGCAATTGGTGCCGGCTATTGTTACGCTCAGGGGCCGAGGGTTGATTAGGTTTGGCCTGAATCAGGGGAAAACGATACGTAACTTAATCTCTAATTGGGCGCCAAGGTCCTCCGGCAAAACGGTGGTGGGAAGTGCTTGGACCTAAAGCACTTCTCGAGCCGACCTGAACTATCGGGTAAAAAAAGAAATGTGGGTGTGAGTTGTATATTGAGAAAAAGGAAAAAAAAAAATAATCAATTAATTATAATTAAGTAAATAGTAAACGCCAGCACAGCAGCGTCTGACAAGGTGAAATTTAAATTAAGTACTTGCAATCTTATTCCGACTCGCCGCCACTGTAATCGGTACGACTACCATTACTACGCTTCCACCATAGGCCGTTTGATCAAACTCCGCAGGCGCAATTCGCGTAAGTCCTAGACGAATACGTACGCACCCGATTACATTACAGAGCGGACAACAAAAAAAAGAAACTTGCTTAACTAAATTATCAATAGAATTACTGCCACGATGTCAACTACATCAACTGCGTGATACGCTCTGACCTTGTTCCTTATCGGCGAAGTCTGACGACAGTCTCGAAGTGGCAAATGCAAATCCAGGCTGCTCCGGGGGGTGCAAAGTGTCGAACGGACAGCGATCTCCAATTCACGGCGTCGAAGAACCAGGGGGGTCAACAGGGACCAGATTCGCAGGCGAAAATCACGTAGTGATAAGCAATACAGCAGTCAGAAGATAAGACAAAAGAAAAAGGAAAAAAAGGGTCCTGCAAGGAGGAAAAAAAACAGTTGTAGCGTAATGAAATCGAAATAGTCTGGTCTTACTCTGGTGGCAGGCGACCCTAATGTGTTTGGCACGCAGCTAGGCCCCAAAATCCGGAACAAATCCGAAGACTGGCCGGAACCTTCACAAATGTCCCTCAGGACGTCGTTCCTGGACCGAGTCTAACTGGGCGGTGCTTGCCCGGACAATCCCATCCACTGGCGAGCGCAAATTGCTCAAAATTCCTGGACAGCACCAGCACTCCCGCACGTGGCAAAAATTTTCCAACCAAAGAGACTAATGGCGACTCAAAAACGGATGTTAAAAAACCCTATCACGGCTTCTCGAAGGTTTTTCCTTGAAGGGGGAGAAAGGCGGGAAATTTCCGCCATAAAGGCTATGATGAAAAAGGGCTAACTATTTCAAATTTGACACATAGTTCAACTTCCGCTGCTTTGCTCCTGCGTACAACCTCTGTCAAGTTTTTGACATTCGGTTAACCTCCTAATCCAAGTATCAACAGCAATACACGCGCCAAAATAACGCAAATCGAATTTCAAAACGATAGGAGTAGCAAGGCAAAGAGGGAGAAAAGCCACCCCCAACATCGGGTGAGTCGTATTTACAATGCAAACAGAAATGGCCTTCGAGCTCTTCGTAGGCCAACAACCCTTGCCCGTCAACTACGCTTCCCTCCTACAGGATAAAGTTCAGGGCTTAATTTAAGGAACTCAGGACCCGCTCACATAAAATCTTATCACCTCTCGTAAGTGCTCCAATCTAAGTTAATAAAATAAAGCTTAAATTAAAAATTCTAGTAGGGCAGAGCGTTCCGAAACCAGCTATGTATTACTGGTTGCCTTCTTACAGGCGCGCTTTACCGTACATGAAGAGGCGAAGGAGAGAAGAAATGTGGCTTATCACGGAATTCAAAACTCAACCGTGACAGGTTCAACGGCTGTGATGTTCATGTAAGTGTTATCTATGTTGGAAAGATATTGTCAATAGAGTTTTTATCACTACATGAAAAATTAACAACTGAAAATAGATTGAATTTAGTGATAGAATCACATAGTTTAACTTTAAGACTATCATCAAAGTTAAATATTACACTTTCACATTCAATTTCATTGAATGAAAAAAACTCATATTCAGGGATTCATGATCCTCTCTACATTGTTTAAGTCGGAGGTAATGACAAAAGATGAATAAAGATCTGGATACTTTGAATTTAACTTTTCCACTTTGTCGATGTTTCACAATTCTTAAGATGATCCTGCACGGTATTCAAGGTTGAAAATGGATCTAGACAATACGTATGAACGTATCCTTTCTTTGGAACTGCCTTTAACAGACTCTTTTCGGATTTTCAACATCCGATGACAATGTTCTTTTTACTTTGTCGACGTTTCTTATCTCGAATAGTTTTGCCATCTATGACGCTGACAAGATTTTTTATAAAATTTAAGAACAAATTTTCTGTTATTTTTCTCCTGCCATTTGATTTCCAAATTTGTATTTCGCGGAGTTTTAATTTTACTAGGAACCTTGATTTCTTGCATCGAAGCTCATTTCTTTACATCAAATGATTGCGGCTTTCTTTTTGTTGAGGTTAGTCTCATGAGTTTCTGCTTCATGTGCATCTCTAGTAATTTGATTTTGTCTCTTAGCTCTTTGAGAAGTTCATCTTTTTCCTCAATAATATATCCGAATAATTTTGGAGTCACAGTTTCACTAATTATGCTCTTTTCGCGGTGTCAAAATTTGATATCTTCTAAAATGTCACTTACTACACAATAATTTATGGATTTATCGTCCTACAGCTGCATTGATTGATAGGTATCCCGTTTCTGTCTGTGTCAAACTGACTGTCTGTCTGTCTGTCTGTCTGTCTGAATTGATTGATAGGTATAGCTACCCCGTTTCCGTCTGTCTGTCTGTCTGTCTGTCTGTGCACCGTCCATGTCGATTTTAATTAGGTATATAATTTCCGAAACTAATGCACTGATTGTTGTCAAATTTTACATTTAAATTACGAATATCGTGTGAAACGTAAAATGCTGATCAAAATTTGTCCGATCATCCCTACCCACACTATAATGACGTCACCTTAGTAAACATCATTTCAATTTTATACAATAATATATTCCCGTGCTGTTTATTACAATAAACTTTTATTGTTTAAACCTTCTTCTTCCTCTTTACTTACATAAAGCTGAGTCATAGGCCTGCGGAGAGGCGCTCTGTGGTTTTTCCATTTTTTTTTATTGATCAAATCAACAACGGTACATCCCATTTTTTAATTATTAGTATTATAGTGCGCGTATCGAAACTGACACGGCTCGTCCTTGCTGAAATGTTGATTGAATGTGAAAACTCACTACAAACACAGGCATAGCCTTGCGCTTTATCAATTCATTCATATTTTTGCAGAATTGTTAATTCGTTTCCTATCATGAATGGACAAGTGCACTCCACCCCAGATCAAATACCCTATGATTGTCTTAAATTATTATATAATTCTGGCACCCAATTACGTAGGTCGTCTCTTAGAACATACAAATTATCTTGTGATGGGTTGTCTATAATCTCGTGGGTTGATAACGTAAACTGTGCTTTATTTTCATTTTCGCGAATACGTTTGGCTAATTCGCTTATATTGTTCTACGAAGATCATAAGAAATTCATCAGCCTAGAAGTGGAATGGGTGTATGAAGCCCCTCATAAACTCGCAAAATATGAAGATGTGCAGAAAATCCTCATTATTTTGAAGAAACGCCTTTACATCCACAAAAAATTGGAATCTGGTGTGCCACTTTCTTCGAGGAGTCTGTTACACCTACCAGATCTGCGAGATATCAAAACATGCTGCAGGAATTTATTGACCAGTTTGATCCTGAAGAATTGCAAAATTCAGCATGACGATGCAACAGCTCATACAGGCCATATCTACCCACCTCAACCATCAGATTTGGCACTTTTAGATTTCTTCTTGTTTCAGACTTTGTAAAACACTATTTTCAGCAATCAGTGGATACAATTAAAGGCCTAACTGTGAAAATTATAAAAGAGTGTGAAAATGTTACACCCGACATTCAATTAAATATGTTACTTATCATAAATAAATGATTTTAAATCCAACGAGGGTTTAATTTTAGTTGGCATAACATAACCTAGTTTTCTAAGTTCAACCACAAACAACCCATATTCAGGTTATGTTGTGAAATTGCTAATTCATCACTACAATGCACACTTTTAAGAACAAAGTGAATTACGTGCTAAACTCATTAAAATAAAATTTTATAATTTTTTAAAATTAAAAACTGTGTCAAGTTACGACCTACTTTTCGGTCTAATTCATTCTGTCAACAAATGCGTGGGTAACTAAATCACACTCATAACTAAAATCATCTGGGATAATTATTATTAGTTAATAAAACAATATAATTGTAATTATTTTAATAAATGAATTTTATCTTTTATCTAACTTGGCACATAGCTACATCCTCTTTCAGTATCCTCAATCGACCTTTATTTTCCATCCACGTTTACTTCACTCTCTATTTAGCATTTTTCAAGCCATAATTTTTGTTTGCTTTTAAGCAGAAGCAGTCCGAACCGAAGCACCATCTGTTTGTTCGTGTTGTTCTCTTCTACATTTTTCCCTAGCATCTTGAAATGAATACTTGATAAACTGTCATTGATAACCCAAATTTTTCTAAGTGACTTATTATTTAAATTATTGCCATATTGTGGTCGTCTGTCTGTTATGTTTTCATTTTCTCCTCGATAAAAAAGATAACCGCATACAAAACACTTCCAACTTCTCTTAAATTTTGTAGCAACTCGTAACACAAACATTACGTACAGTTTTGTGCAATAAATTGGCAAACCCAACAACCGTTTTAAAGGGCACTTTATCAACTAAAACCAGCGGATTTTTATTGCTTAGCAACACATTTATTGATTCATTCATAAAAATGATTTAAGTACACGCAGATTTAAAAAAAAGTGGCTTGGTAAACCCCAATACACAGACTTGGATAGGAGTAAACGTGCACACAGGGAAAAATAACAAAACTCATTGAATAAATATTTATTTTTTCGTTTCTGCGACACAAAAGCATATTTGCGAATGTTGCGTGCAGCACATATTTCTACAGTTTTGATGTCAAACAATTCATGTAACATTTGTGCTTTATGAAGGCAATAAATTATTGAATATTAAAAATATTAATGTTGACTGCAGCTACTGTTTGATATAACTCACGTTATGTTAGCACAACAAAACGTATTGTGCTCGCAACATTTCATACAAAAATACAACACAACCCTAAAACATGTCACCTTTGTCCAGATTTTAATTATGACAAGGTAGAAAAGCCAACAACTGTCAAACGCAAATCTAATCACAGCTCGTGGTTTTTAAATTTTTTCGGCATTATTCTACAAAGAAAGAAATTAATTTTAGGTACTGCTTTCCCTATTGGTTTTAACAAAAGTCATGTACCAAAAAAAAAATAAGTACAAATAAATGACTGAAAAGTTTTCAATAAACAAACATGCCACCTTTATTGATTCTGAACATGGTAAACTACGTGCTAGTTGCACTAAAAGTTTCATCCACAAATGTGTATTATTATATGAATCTAATCACAAAGTTAGTCAGTAGTCGGGTTCTATTGTTAGGTGCGTGGTAATTATTGTACTTCCATATTTTCAATACATTTGATTGCTCACTCCTTGAAAGTGACAGAAATCCATAAATCATACTCTAATGGTGAACTAAAAAAACGCAAATCTAGATTTATCACAAATAAAAAACCTGATAATACTAGAGATAACATCATCTACTAATTTGAAACAATCAAGAAAAATAAAAAGAGAAGAAATACCTTACCAACAGCGAAAAAAAACTTTTCCCCTGGCTACAATTACAACGTATTAGCAGTAGCAAAGATAAAGCTCAATCTGCTTCCATTTTCATGTTGATCATTCGTGAGTTTACTTTCACATAAAAATATGAATATTTCTTTGCTCCATTTGTAGACTTAGCGTACGCAACTTGTATCTGACTAATTATTTATTCAGCATTCTTTAACCTTGACTTTATCAGAAAACACAGTTATCATCATATAGATCTATTTACGAATAAATTATCCCTGTTTACTTTGCTTACAATCGTCGAGAAGGTTGTTACCGTTGGTGTTTTATGAGGATCAACGAATACCGAAGGGCTTGGTGGATAATAAAAGAGTATACCTACATGTTGCTATAATGTTATGTTAATTAAAAACCCATTACACCCTGGTTACTCCCTTTAAAAACTGAATTATTAAATGCAATAAAAACTTCCAAGCTAAGCTCTCCGCTTCATTTTATTGTAATTAAAAGTCTGAAGAGTTTTCCTTAACTACCTGGAATCCAAAATTAATTTAACCTCGTCTTACCCTTAATTTAATAGTAGTATGCAGTGAGGCTCTGTATAAAACTGTACTTCAGTCTGTGGTTAAATCGAGCAGAAACTTCATCGCCGCGCAAGATTTAAGCTCATTATGATCATGCCAGAAACTGAAATGGGGCTTTTATCGATCAACGTAATTATCGAACAGTGTTAACATCCGTCACAGGTTTTTACGTAAAAGAAGCATGTTCCAAAGAATATAATTCAAACGCTAAGTATGCTCATATAAAGTTTTCTCGCCGCGAGGGCGAAAAACTTTCCAAAGCAATAAATTTTGGACGAAATCAATAACAAGGAGGCCCTCTGCTGTCTTTTACCGCAAATATTATGATACGTTCGTAATCAACTCTAGGGGAAAATATACATAAAAAGCAAACTTGCAAAAATTATTCGACTCGGGGAAAATCGAACTGCGTGGTGTTGTGCAGTGAATAATGAACGAAATACCAACTTTCAGACTTCCCTATTTTTATTATTGATAAAGACTCTACTGTTAATTGGATTTACTACACAATAACCATTTTGCTTTTATATAACAGACGGCTGGCCATGTCGATATCTATCAAATTTTCATCGCGATATTTTCGGAACGATTTTTATCACAGAGAGTTAAACGGCAACCTCAATGGGTTAGCGCAGTTTTACGATCGTTGCTTTACAAAAACTACATAGAAATTTAACTTTAATTAAAGCTTCGTTGTGTTAATATGTAATAAATGCGACCTCAAACCAAACATAATATAGAATAATTATGCTAGCATGCCTATCCTTACAGTACACAATTGTTTGCAAAGAACATAACAGTACCCAAGCCCCACAAAATACAAGCAAGTATAAAACCTCTCAATTTTGCTTTCCATGTTTCGTATAGAAATAACTGCTCATATATTGTATATTGTGTAAATTAGCGAAGACCCTTTTTGCGTACATATTTAAATTTACGAAAATTTGAAAACAAAGCCCTGCTTGGATTTATACATTTTATGTTTGAAGACAAAAAATGGAATTTACTCCACCACGCAGTAATGGAAGTGTAATGATAATGTAAGGTTATTGCTATCAACAATCTGAATTTTATAAAATAACATATTCCTGGACTTGTGGTTTATGAACCCGAGGTGAGTTTTCAGACAAGTATCCAAATTTTCCAAAAAAATGTTTTTAATTAATAAAGGTTATCACAAAAAAATAAAATTTTATAAGTTCTAATGAAGCGGGATTTGTTGGACTGCACTTTAGGAGCGAGGGAAGTTCCGTCTAAATAAACTTTGACTAGCTCTTACAGCAATTGCTTGAAATATTTAAATTTATTTTTACTTTTTTATTTAACTGCTTAAACGTTATTAGTGATTAGACTGTGAATAACTTCACTATGTTGTCTACACAAAATGGTAAATTATTATTACTCTTTGTTGTCAGAGGTGTTACTTTTAAAACAAAATCTCATACTACGTTTATATTATACTAAGTATGAAAATGCGGCATTTAGCAAAGTTAGCCAAGAACGAAAATTGAATTCATTACAACCGAAAGCGTGCTGTTAAGTTATAATATAAAACTGAAATCTTCACAGAGGGCATTACGAGCGACTCAGTAGTAATCATGGAATTCATAAACCACGAGTACAGGAGTCTATTATTTTATAAAATTCAAATAACTTTTACGACGCAAAATGAAGAAATGTCAGCAAATGGTTGGTGGGGATATTCTTCCGTCACGTATAAAATTTGACAACAATCGGTCAGTAGTTTCGTAGATTATCGGTCTAATGAAAAACGACACAAACAACCGCAAGACGACAGACTGGCGGCAATACTCTAGGGGCCATACAATGTCGAGAAAACAAGTAAAAAACTTATTCACAGGATGGGCCCTATTACAATAGCTTCTGCTTGGGAAATAAAAAAAAATATATATTTTCTGAGTAAACTAATAAGGAAATATTATAATAGGGTCTACTCGACGAATGTCTATTTTCATGTTTTGTGGACGTGTCATAACTCCAAGGGTACGAAACAGTAGTTTTTCCGTTTCCGTCTGTCACCATCTGTCACATTTTGACGTCTGTGTCAATATTTATAACAGACAATCTCCGGAACTTCCGGATCGATTGTTGTCGAATTTTATGTGTGTTAGGAATATCCTGTACATTATAAGCCGAGAAATAATTTCAAAACGTCACACCAACATTTTGCTTATCAAATACTACTTAAATTTTATAAAACAACATACTCCTCTGCTTGTGGTTTATGAATAAGCCTTGACTGTTAATCACAATTACTTTACAAAGACATTTGTGCCAACTTTGCCAGGTGTTTCACGTAACCGATATCTCACGCACGTATGAGATAAGGAGGTCGTGGCCGGCTGATTTAAGGCATTCCTTTTGAGCAAATAACTTTGGACCAATTTTCTTATAATGTGAAACTTACATTTGTGACTTTATAATTAAACACAATAAAAGAAAGACATAATAATGTATTCATCAAATTAGTTACGAATCAATCATGACAGCTGTTTGGTTTATGTTAAATCATAGAATTAGATTCGTTAAACAAAACACTCACTGCGCTCCTTTTTCGTTCTGAGTTATACACAAAGTTTTATATACCACCAAATATGTATACAATAAATTTCACTCAAAGAACTAGCATCAGTTCACCAATAAATGTGTCTA